AGGATCTCAAAGGATGTTCTTATTGAAAAGCACGTAACTTTATTTATCCGTCTAACCCGCAACAAAAGTAAGAATATCAATTAATGACCAAGTAGATATAATTATACTTTGTCACACGAATATATATTTGGCCAATTCATCAATTACCTAATCCACAGCAAAAACAAGCCATGAGCGATTCCTCGAAGGAATCACAAGAGATTTACGAAGTACCTTCAACATGTTGATTGGCAGTTGAAGCAAGGAATAAATTGCTTAGACTCCTACTAAGGACCTAATCAGCACAAATTCAAATTACTCAACCACTTTTGCTTTGTTCATTCAAATCACATTTTCACCATTGCCTCAATGTCATCAACACCTCACAACCATTATAATTAAGCTGCAACGTTTTTTTTTTTTTTTTTTTTTTTTTGTGAGGCATTATAGTCATATCACTTAACACGCTGTCCTAAACCAAAAGTTGGTTCAAGTGTTCTCATTTTGTTCCATTTCTAATTCAATGTCTTGAATTATAAAAATACCATATACTCAACAAGGTACTGAAAAATAATGGGCAATAGAGTAAGTTTAAACGTGCTTACTCAAAGGAGTCAGAGAAGGACCATTTGGAGAAGCAGAGATACTAAAGCCATAGAGAGAGACTGTAAAAGCTTGTTTGACAGTGGACATTATGAGACTGATGTGACACAAGTTAAAAGACAGCAGTCTTAGAATGACATGCATGATGTCACTTTCTCGATGATCGATTCTCCGGTGATCTGGGGTTGAACAATTCGGTATGTCATTTCAAACAGAGATACCGCAACTTTTATCTCTGGCAACACATTCTTGGTTTCATTAGTCATCTTCTACTTTTCTTCTTTTTTCCTACTCTTTTGGTGATTTCGGAAGTTTTTTGGGAGAGTGGATGGTTAGGGTGGTTTTAGCATGCATTTGGGAGGAAGGGGACACGTGGCGATGATATATGTGGGCTGTGGAGTCAATAATACTAACAGTACCTCTCTTCATTGGGAATTTCAACTGTTTACTGACATTGCAGGTACTAAAGTGGAGACGTTCAACAAATAGTTATATAGGACCAATTTCTACTTAGCCATGTTTGATGCCTCGTTATTTCATCAAAATTTCATTAAATTTTGGAACTATGCATGGTTAAAAAGTAGGAAAAATTTTGAATTTACTTTTGAAATATTTTATTGTAAGAATGTATAGTTAAAAATGTGTTTGAAAAAAATAAATTATGAATAATGAGAATAAAAAAGGGCTTAGCAATAAACATTAATTATAAAAATCACCCTTCTATATACAAGTCTATCAAAAAAATATCCCTAAAGGCATGTTTGAAAGCTTTTTGAAAGTCAAAAACTACTTTAAAATTAAGAAGCTATTTTTACATATATTTAATAATTTTGGAAAAGTACTTTGTTTGATTATAAAAATTTTAAAGGAAACTAATCTAAAATAATTTTCTCAAAATAATAGCCATGTCTAGGCGCACGTTATTGCCAAAATTAAGTGATTTTCTGACCGTTGATACGTCCAACGGCCACATTTCCACCTTCTACTGATATGGAAATCAAATAGACTAACGCCCATGTTAGTTGGTTTTTCCCCTTTCTACCCCCACAATTAACACGCCAAACCAACCTTCATTTCTCTGTCTTCTGCGAAATCAAAAAGCAAGAAACGCTCAGTTTGCACTTCTCCACTGGACGAAGCTGCCGACACCACTCTTCCACTGGACGAAGCTGCCAACACTACTTGCTCTCCGACGGCAACAATATCTGCTACATTTGTTGTCCGACGGTGAGAAAATAATCTTCCGACAGTCGGCAACAGTTTTTGTAACAACCCGTCGCCCCCACCCTACTCTGACGACTGTAGCGGCAGGTTGATGGCGCCCCTGCCAACAATTTCAACCCCCAATATGCCTTAACGACGTTTGCCTTCTTCGGCCACCGATACAAGCGACTCCACTGTCACAATTGACGTCCCCGTAGATCCCCATTCCCGTACAACATCGTAGGTAAGCAGCCGTGCCTTCGATCTCTACTCGTTCCCCTTGCACGTTCCTCACTTGTCACCAATCTATACATTTCTTTAAACTATTTGATTCACAAGGGCCTGACATAAAAATATTACATTTGCACTTGAAATTGAACTGCAAAAGGCGCTCCCAGTTTCTCCGTCACACACACGTTTGTGTAACTTGTTGGAAAAGAATCTGCTCACCAAGAGAGAACCACCATGGATCCTGTCGTTTCCCCGGTATGGTAGAGTGCCTCCAAGATGTTCTTCATTTTTGTGTTGAATGTAAATTACCATGAACGGTTGCTTCTGCTGATAGAGAATAACATTTTTTCCTCCCAATTTGCAGCAGCCAAATTACCACCCACACCCGAACTCCTCCACATCAAACGCCCATCATGTTGACAGTGAATCGGGGCCTCGTAAGCATGCACAATGGACTGACTATGAGACACAAATTTTTGTTGCTGCCTGTGAGACCGTAATCGCCGATGGACAGCAAAATGGAAAGTGCTTCACCAAATACGGATGGCAGACATTGGTTCACTTATTTAACACCAACTCCGGGCACAATTGGAGCAAGCAGCAGCTGAAAAATCAATGGGATGCACTCCCCTTGAAACACAAGAGATTTGAAAAATTGATCAACAGCAGTAGCGTTGCGTACGACAAGTCCACTGGCTTGATTAACGCCTCGGCGGAGTGATGGGATCGAAAGATGAAGGTACCATCATATACTCATCAATAATAGCTAGTATCAGAATAAATTAAGTTATTGATATCCAAATTCGAGAGACCTCATTGATTCCTGGTGTTTGAAGGATTATTTTTCATGAATAATTGCCCAAGTTCAATACAAATTTTTAGGAAAGGAACCAAAAACACAAATGCAAGTGCCTGCATATTGAAAATAAAAAATTCAAGCAACAATCATTAACCACAACCTTTTTTTTTTTGTTCCAACAAAAAATAAGAATACAAATAAAAAATAAAATATTAGAACAAATCAACAGATCCAAATATATATATATATAACTAAAATGATATGTTTTGAAAATTTCAAATTCAGAAGTATAACTCCTAAAAGTAAATTAGTGTTTATGTTTTGTTAAGTTGATCGGAAATGCTTTTTTTTTTTTTTAGTTCCATCCAAATGACTATGAGTTTCTTAGAATTAAAGTTTGTATTCAGTAGTAACTTTGGGTTGCCCAAGTATGCAGAGACACTGTTAGTTACATGGGATGAAATTAATGAGTTACAAACAAGAGTGATGGTTGGCAGTTAATAAAATCTGCTACTTACGTCGTTTATCTCTAAACTTGTACAAATTTGTTTAAAAACAGTGCTAAAACAGGGATTCTTCTTCTTAATTAACCATTCTCTACTTTCTAAATCCTCATACTATAAGAAGGTAGACTAGTTTTCGTTTTGTTGAAATTCTAGGACAAATTGATTTTTCACGTTGCATAATGAATTAATTATTTTGGGCACTTAGCTTTAGGGAAAATTTAGTTATCCAGAACCGGCTCTCATTTTTTAAGCATTATTGGCTTTATTTTTTATTTTTTGCTGGAAAATAATCGAAACATACGCGCCTAATTTGGAAGAGAGAGTAAGAATAAATTGTATGGTATTTTGGTAAGTGTCACATATATGCCTAATTGTCTTCACTGCTAATGGACTGGTACTTCAACTACTAAACAATTTTGTTTTTATAGTTGTAACTGCAAAATGCACTTCACATTAACATCAAGTGTTATTGTAATTGTGTTTATGTTTCATTTACACATTCATGTGCATGGGTAGGAATGGCTGACATTGTTGTTATTTTCTGAAATAGATGCAATCCTAATTTTTTTTCCTGTCAATTGTAATTGCTTCTTTCACACTTCGTTTGCAAAAGATGTGAACTTCGTCTGCTTTGTATTGCTTCAGGAGAGGAAAGAGTACAAGATCAAGGATTGCCGAGAGTTGTACCGATACAAGGTTTTATTCGGGGATGTTTTCGACTGCGATAATTACACAGACACACCTAGCCAAGCATGCCGCACTGGCTTCGCCATGTTTGAAGACAGTGCACACGAAGACCACCGTGACGAGATCCCAGTCGATATAGAGAGTAACGGCTCAAGTGACTAGGGCGGTGTAGCCACATCGCACTCTTCGGCCATGGATGAATCCGGCCCACATCGCAGGGACAAATGAAAGGCCGTCGGGAAGTGATCGAAGGAGAAGAAGAAGAAGTTTTCATCCGGGACGTGTCCTACTCTGTGGACCGTGCTACCTCCGCCAATGAGAAGATTGCTGCAAAAATTGACCACTTCATCGGAATGGCTGTGTTCGACCCGAAGACATGCATGAGCGAGTTGCTGGCTACGGGTCGACTCCAAAAGCAAACGGATCTGTACTTTTACACGTACAAGTTCCTTTCGCAGAAGGCCAATAGAGAGATACTGGACGTGCAAGACAATGCAAACGACAAGTTTGCTTGGGTGGAGTGGGGCTATCAGGAATATAGGAAAACACAGCCGCAGTGATATATGTTTGTGTAGATTGCGTACACGTCCGTGGAACGTTTTAAATTTTTCTTACTATTATTTATATTTACATGTACTATGTTTGATGTGACGACATTTTGTTTGTGTCTAGTATGTATGGGGAACAGTTGCCTAAGTTTGCTTTTTGCAGTTGAAACGTTTTATTTTTATATGCGTGCGAAAAGTTTGATTCTTTTAGATTACAAGCAAATGTGCAGACAATCAAACTTTTGAATGTTGTTCGCATTTGGGTCAAACAAGTGCTCCATTAGTTGGTATACTGTTCACATCAGTCTCATCTTCACATAAATTATTGGTTGCCCTGGACATAACTTGAAAGACAAATCATTCTATAAAAAGCACATAAATGTAGTAGAAGTTTACAACATGCAAAAGCCATAGTCTTGGATATCATATTGTGATTGTGGTCGTATGGCATATTCGGATTTCACCTACGAATTGCACCCGACCTTCGATGCAGAGGACGAACAGGTCGACGAGGCATTCATGGAAGAATTGCAAGTGAACATTATGGAGTGGTTTCGGTACTGTCAAATGAATGAGGTTACTCTCAAAAACTACTATCGCGAAACGAACAAAGCACTCGTGTTTCGCGATATCCGTTCGCACGAAATGGTCATATGTTCATGTTGGACGCAATGAACTGTAATCATCAACAATGCTACGCCGAGTTCCGCATGTATCCCATCATGATACGAGCGTTCGCACATATGCTGCGTGATGAGTACGGGCTTCGCAGTCATCAGCACATAGATATTTATGAGCTGGTGGTATGTTTCTTTGCATATTAGCGCATGGGAAGGGGTACAGACAGGTGCAGACCCTTTTCAACCATTCTTTGGAAACCGTTGGACACTACTTCAAGCTTGTGCTTCGAACGGTCCTCGAATTCTCTCGACGAGTAATTCAATCGGATCCAAACTACAATAATTATGTCGAACATCACGTTCCGAATCTAAACAAGCATCACATTTTTCGGGATTGCATTGTGCAATTGACGAAACCCACGTTAGAACCGTCCTTCCACGGGAGCAGCGCGTGAGTTTTATCGGACGAAAAGGAATTCCAACCCAGAATGTGCTAGCGGCATGTGATTTCAATTTGTGCTTCACATTCGTGCTTGTAGGTACAACGGGGAACTCCCATGATGCTCGAATCTTGGCTCGAGCAATACATAATCCCGAGATTGAGTTTCCGCAACCTGTACCTGGAAAATATTACCTGGTTGACTCGAAATTTGCTCATCGACCTGGGTATATAGCACCCTATAAAGGTTCGGATATATTGTACCATTTTCAACAATTCTATGATGGAGACACTGGTCGTAGACGTAATTTTCGAAATGCCCGCGAAAAATTTAATTTCAGGCACTCGTCCTGCAGGAATGTCATCAAACGTGCATTTGGCGTTTGAAAAAGTCAGTGAAAAATACTCGATCGTATGCTAAGTTATGCATTCGACGTGCAAACACATGTTGTAATTGCAACAATGGCCATTCATAACTTTCTTCGACAAGCGGGTGTGGTGGATGAAGCATTCCTAAGAGCGGAGACAGACCCCAACGCAGCAGAAGTGGAGCTCCGAAGCGCACGTGACGAAGCTTCAACGGAAATGAATGCACCGGAATCACGACAAGATGAGTGAGATATATTCAGAGATTACCTGACACAACAATAAACACGTATATATATATTTTTTTTTTTGTCGAAATTAGACGGGCTCATTAAGCATGATGTTTTCCGACAAGAGAAATGAACATCATTTCATGTCAAAATCAGAAGAAAAAAAATGTTATCATTAATAATGTCACACGTCCCCAATTGGTTTTCTTGCAATGAAATTCCGTGTAACAAATATTTGATGGACAAAAAATATTCATGTTTGAATGAGACCCTCATGTATGCATTATCTTACCAATTTCTTTATCATTGCCGATCAAAAGTTCCATTCATTATGTCAGTGCACACTTGGAGTCATGTGGGCAAACTTGTAATTTATGCATGTACCTCTACATTGAACAACTAAAATGTCTTCAGGTTGGGCCAACTGATTAGACAGGAAAATTGATTCTCCTATTTCACAAATCGCGCCCAGACGGGGGCAATATTCCATAATAGAAAGAGTGAAAACAGATTACTCATGTCTAGTCAGCTTCTTGAAATGAGTTGGTTGGCCTACCAAGGTTACCACTTTGATGGAAGAACAAAATATTACGTAATCAATTTTGACTTGAGCCAGTTCTTTTTCCTCGTGATATCATATATACAGAAAAGCGAATATATTAATTAACAAGTATACTAAAATTTCTTTATTAAAGACGAAAGAATTCAACATATGGAAAACAAAGAATGCTCGACCCTAATGAAGAAAGCACTGGATGAGTTTTCTTGTCCATGTTTAATATGACTAATATATGATTGCAAGAATACATGATCTAAAATTCTCTAGACGACCACCTTTGCAATCGCATGTAATCTCTCGAGTGGAAAATGCTATGTGTACATAATAATGTACACATAGCATTACACCCCCCTCACATAGAGGGGAGCTCGCACACAATAAAATATTCATGAGTCCCCTCTATGTGAGAGGGATGTAACACATTTTGTATACCATGAGGTAAACACATAGCATTTCCCTCTCTCTCGAGTATAGCATAATAGATGGTCAATAGTTTATCGATGCATACCATACAAAAATTGTGAGCACATGAAGAAACAATTAAAGATTCCTTCTTAACGGGTCCTTTATCAATCAACAAACAATTAAAGATTCTCTCGATCATGCCAAGTGTTTATCTATTATCATGTCTAATCTTTATCCAATACAACTAAAACTCATTTTTCTCAAAATCTGAATCAATGAAAAACAGAATTACAAGGAGACATAAGCTTACCATTTTGTTTCGATAGGCTCAGTAGCAGATTACGGTATACAACTGTTAAATCTTGAAAAAGGGGCAGCCAAGTATCGAAAGTACATAGGAAAGACGGTAGATTTTGCGTCAAGAAGTCAGATTAGAAACCAAACATCAAGTCCATAACCTTTGAGACCATTGATTTGGCAGGTGTGACAATGGTACCGGCAGATTCCCGGCCACCAGAACCGCCATTCTGAGGATAGTACGGATGAGGGGACACTTCAAAACCATTTGATGTCAAGTTTCCATTTGATGGAGCAGGTGCTAATGGTATAAATCCTTGATAACTAAGCCTCTCGTTTAAAGCCCGCCGTTCTATTGGATCCAAAGGCTTGACTCCAATGATAAGAACTCCGTTTATTTCCATGCCATTTTTGCTGAGTGCTTTACGAGCAGTTTCGATAGGCTCAGTAGCAGATTACGGTATACAACTGTTAAATCTTGAAAAAGGGGCAGCCAAGTATCGAAAGTACATAGGAAAGACGGTAGATTTTGCGTCAAGAAGTCAGATTAGAAACCAAACATCAAGTCCATAACCTTTGAGACCATTGATTTGGCAGGTGTGACAATGGTACCGGCAGATTCCCGGCCACCAGAACCGCCATTCTGAGGATAGTACGGATGAGGGGACACTTCAAAACCATTTGATGTCAAGTTTCCATTTGATGGAGCAGGTGCTAATGGTATAAATCCTTGATAACTAAGCCTCTCGTTTAAAGCCCGCCGTTCTATTGGATCCAAAGGCTTGACTCCAATGATAAGAACTCCGTTTATTTCCATGCCATTTTTGCTGAGTGCTTTACGAGCATCAAATCGATTCTGCACCGGCAATTCAGTAAGCAAATTAAACAGAACATCACCATTCACATGTCAAGGTTATAACCAATATAAGCAACGGGAACGAAATAAGGTCAGTTGAAGTAAAATCATTCAGTTCTTTCCTGTCATGTTCACTGATACATTTGCAAGAAATCATTATAAATCAAAAACATTATCGATGCTTATTTCCTAACATCACCAATAACACATCACTTGAGCCTTCATACACAGTTTAATATAAATATGAAGTATCTAAAACCAGACAATTAGGTCCAAAATTTGAAGAGGAAAATACAACAAACACGTCATATTTCAACATGCAATACAATTTTAATTACAGTTTGGCAAACAGAATTTCAACATCCAGCCAATTAACCGAAGCCAAACACAACCATCTGAGCAGATAATCAAGTGGCAGATTAAGAATCTTTAGAATCATCAAATCAAGCGAACACAAGATGCATATTGATTTTTCTCTGTACATCCTTGATTAAGAATCTTCAGAAATCATCAAATCAAGCAAACACAAGATGTATATTGATTTTTCTCCACACATCCCTATCATATTGCAGATACATGCCCATTCCCAGTAATAAGGCAAGACCTAGACAGTGGTACATTGATTATTTTAAATACATTGTCGTTAACTAGATGAAAACCTGACACTGAGACAAGGGCATTCGGATCCGTTATTTTCTTTGATGATTTTCTGGCTGCAACTATTTTAAACAAGATTGAATCTGAATTTGTTTGGTTACTGTACCAAATTGGAGAACGTTGTATCATAAAGTCCTACATTGATGATATGAATGTTCTTTATTCATCAAACAAAATCGGTCAAATGGACTAAAGATATATGATGAGAAAATTACTATAAAACATATTTCAATATAAAGTATTCCATGAGGAGAAAAAGTTAATATTTCATGGTGCAAAAATAAAAATTTACCCCCATTTATTTATTTATATATATATGTGTGTGTGTATATATATATATTTGAAAGGCTTTAATCATCACTTTGATGTGATTATCATGTTTCTCTTCCACTAGTAAAATTATTATATACCCATACCATAGTTCAAGCAACATAGATTCTCACCAGTTATTCTCTAGCAGAATAAAAAAAGTTAAGATCTTGAAACAAGACATTTCTCCTAACAAATTCTGCAAAATGAACCAGGATTCTCCTTTTCAATGCAGAAAGAAAGTTTACAGTCATGTCCAGTGGAATAACACAACAGCAAATCTATCTGAACAGTGGCATTAGGAGGATGCATTACAAGATATGTAATGAAGCCTCAGCCAATGTATGGCTAAAGTTTATAAAGTGTCTATATCCCTGTTTGATCCACATTATTTGAAAAAATATATATATTTTTAAATAGTGATTTGACATCATTTCAACCATATATTTTTTAATAAAATAATGTTACACGCAAATCCAAAATTTTTCTTATTTTTTAACCATACATTTCCCACCATTAAACTATTCAAAAATACATTTTTATGAAAATAATGTGGCTCAAAAGGACTCATAAGTATTACCCATTTATTCACATATTTCATGGGACTCATAAGCATTACCCATTTACCAACTACTCATTTCTACTTGTTTATAATTTAAATGGCTTATAAACACTTCCCAAACATGTGCTCAGTGCTTGTGCCAAACCTACCTCTGGGTCTCACCACAGCCAACTCCTCCATCCAAAAAGAAAGGCAAACATATGAAAGCAACATGAAAGATAAAACATCAATGTTCCTACCTACAGAGATTTAAAGGATTAACACGTCAATATGGAAGAGATTTAATAATTCTAAAAAGCCAACTCAGTATCCGTGACTACAAGATGATTTTCCTCAGAAGTTCATCTCTGTCTCTCTACCTAAGGTAATAACTAAAATCAGTAGATATTAGATAAGTCGCCAAATTGATGTGATCTATCCATAAGAACCATTTTAACAAGGAAAGGAGGAAACTATTGGGTTTAGTAAAAACCCAAGTGTTCCTCATCCACAAAGAAAATTGTCTGACTAATAAGAAAAAAATTATCTTTGAAAGTATTTGTTGTCATAATATATGCATGCCAAATATCACAAACAAATTGCGTAAGGGATTAATATAACAGTGAATCTGAACTGGACAAAATAAAGTTAGGTTGCAGTAGTAGTGAAAGTACCTGATACAGAATGTGCATCCAATTAGCTTCTCTTGGGCCAGGAACATGTTTCAGAATCACACCACATTTTTCAAACTCCCGCAAAACTAGATTAGTATCAGCTGGTGAAAATCTGGAGATTTTCAAACATAAACATAACTTTAAATGCTAACTTTGAAAGACACGAAGAAAAAAACTAAAAGGCATATTGCAAAGCACATCAGCATTCACAAAAAATTTACAATCAAATATACGAAACAGAACACAAGATTATCAAGAGTCAGCATCATCAGTTCTACATAACTTAGAACTGAGTTCCTATTATCGTTAAATACTAAAAACTGTGCAAGAGAAAAGTATATATAATCTAAATTCAATATAAAATTAAAAACAGAAAGAGACTTGACAAACATACCCATAGACGGTGACCCATTCCTCCTCGTCAAGGTTCTCCATAGGCACCAAACTCTTCTTCATTTCTGGTCTAGCAACCTCCCTAGGTGGTGGCAATGTTATCAAGGCACCAGGTTGGATCACACCTTCGACTGGCGAACTCTTCCCTTTATCATCTTGCTCTGTATTACTTACAATTTTCACAGGGGACCACCAGCTCGAACTCACAGTGGGGCTCTGCTGCTGCTTGCCAATAATGCCATATGAAGAACTTGACTCAGGCTTACTCCTAGGAGTTGAAAAGTCCCTAGCTGAACTTAGTACAGGGGTTCTAGGATCTGATTTCACTTCTGGAGACATCATATAGTCCGAAATCCCCGATTCAGGAGAAAAATTAGACCGGTCTTCAAGGGTAAAAAATGGCGGAGGCGGAAGATCAGAGTTTCCTAAATTTTCACGCCTTAGAGCCAAAACAGCTGCTGCCTGACCTGGAGTCGTGAATTTCCCTTCAGATCTTCGAGAAGATACAGGGGTTGCTAAATCTTGGTAGAACTGGGATTGCCTCCCAGATTTGGGAGTCCGGTGGACTGATGCGCTCATCTCTCTTTATGGTATTCTACCAAAATAAAAGAAAAATCATGAACAACACAAAACCATAGATTCACAAAACATATACATATAAAAACCAACTCTCGAAATATGCATCTAGATATCTCTTTGGACATAATTGTGTGAAAGATATATGCATGAATGTATAAACTCTAACCATATGTATGTATGTATGTATGTATGTATGTATGTATGTATACATAAAATTGAAATACGCGAACTATTTCACAATTCCAAATTAGAGTGCACCATATTATATCTCTCTAAAGGCTATCGAATTACATATTCACTTAAATCTACTTGAAATGTACGCAGACAAATAAAAACATTAACTCATGGTACGTTTAGACAGGCAAATTTACCCAAAGTACTCGTTCAAATTCAGAAAAATATTGTACACGCACCTCACATATATTCTACATATACGAATATGTATATTCATAAATGATAAACCCTAATATGCGCTCAAGTAAGGACAGTACCATAAAACAACCGCAAAAGTTATAATCGACAAAAATTTAGGCAGAAGGAAAGCTCATTGAACTGATTTTCAGTCGATACAGAAAGCTTTTGCTCGAAATTTTGCACTGAAAGAAGTAATTCACCCAAATCAGAACGTTTCAACAATTAAATTAAAAAAGTACCTGAATGTGGATTTAAAGATGCGAGAAATCAGATAATAGCTTCTATTTCGAGGGTTTTAGAATATCTGCCACCCAAAACCTCGGAGAGCAAAGCATAGCAAGCAAATAAAAACCCTAAATGCTTTGTATTCATTTCAATTAAACGAAGATATCCGCATATAACGAAATTTTTGAATTTCTGTTTAATGACTTAAATGTCCTCCACCCCTTCTTCAGTTTACTACTTGACTTCTCACCGTTACAAGGATGGTATCGTCTTTCCATACTCCTATCAATGTGGCCCTGCCATATTGGATAGATCAGAGTTTCCTAAATTTTCACGCCTTAGAGCCAAAACAGCTGCTGCCTGACCTGGAGTCGTGAATTTCCCTTCAGATCTTAGAGAAGATACAGGGGTTGCTAAATCTTGGTAGAACTGGGATTGCCTCCCAGATTTGGGAGTCCGGTGGACTGATGCGCTCATCTCTCTTTATGGTTTTCTACCAAAATAAAAGAAAAATCATGAACAACACAAAACCAGAGATTCACAAAACATATACATATAAAAACCAACTCTCGAATTATGCATCTAGATATCTCTTTGGACATAATTGTGTGAAAGATATATGCATGAATGTATAAACTCTAACCATATGTATGTATGTATGTATGTATACATAAAATTGAAATACTCGAACTATTTCACAATTCCAAATTAGAGTGCACCATATTCTATCTTTCTAAAGGCTAGCGAATTACATATTCACTTAATTCTACTTGAAATGTACGCAGACAAATAAAAACATTAACTCATGGTACGTTTAGACAGGCAAATTTACCCAAAGTGCTCGTTCAAATTCAGAAAAATATTGTACACGTACCTCACATATGTTCTACATATACGATATACATATTCATAAATGATAAACCCTAATATGCGCTCAAGTAAGGACAGTACCATAAAACAACAGCAAAAGTGATAATCGATAAAAACTTAAGCAGAAGGAAAGCTCATTGAACTGAATTTCAATCAATACAGAAAACTTTTGCTCGAAATTTTGCACTAAAAGAAGTAATTCACCCAAATCGGAACATCTCAACAATTAAATTAAAAGAGTACCTGAATGTGGATTTAAAGATGCGAGAAATCAGATAATAGCTTCTATTTCGAGGGTTTAAGAATATCTGCCCCCCAAAACCTCAGAGAGCAAAGCATAGCAAGCAAATAAAAACCCTAATGCTTTGTATTCATTTCAATTCAAACGAAGATATCCGCACATCACGAAATTTTTGAATTTCTGTTTAATGACTTAAATGTCCCCCACCCCTTCTTCAGTTTACAACTTGACTTCTCACCGTTACAAGGATGGTATCGTCTTTCCACACTCTTATCAATGTGGCCTTGCCATCTGGATTAAAAGCCTTGGGAGTGATTTTGAGAATTGATTTTTTGATCGTTAAGAGAAAAGTGGGATTCACCTGTGAGAGAAGAAATCAAATATGACGGTTGAAATAATGAAATAACGGTCAAAAAATCAATTTTTTGGGTGAAAAAATCGGGTCAAAACAAGCCCTAAATATAAATGGTTTGCACATTTGATCCCAATCTATTGTTGAGTGACAAATTGATCCAAAATTATAAAAATTAACTTGTTGATCCTCAAGTTACAGAATTAGTCTTTAAGGACGAAAATGGAAACCATCTAAATTTTGACTCAATCATTTACGTTATTATACATAACCTTCGTGAGTCTAATTTATGAAGTTGGATTTTATTTTATTTAAAGTGAGATATAACAATTAAACATTAAATTTCATTATACGATATTTCTTAGCCTTCAACCTACGTATATTCAATTTCATGAAGTTGCATTTTATTGAGTTTGAGTGAGGTAACTATAATACCTAAATCTACTTAGAAGCCACGTAAGCGCCACCTAGGAAGTATGAGCCATGCGTTGCTAGGTAGTCTTTCACGCATACCTCCATCGGCGAATCCAGCACCCGGCGAGCACCCGCGGTCGCGCGTGCTGGATCCGCTGGCAACTCTTTTTTTTTGTTAACAAGATATACATTTTTTTGGTTATATTATGGGTAGGGTAGCATTTTCTTCTTGCAAGACCTGGGGTCGATTCCTTTTACAACAACTTTATTGTATGATTTTTTTGTTTCTAGAATTTTTACCAAAAATTGATGGAATATGGATGAGGGGATTTGAAAACAGACATCTAGTTAGAATTGTTAAGAGATTGACAACTACAACACTAATGGATTTGTGACAATAAATTTAACAAATTTATATATGTTAATTGTAACGGTTTTAATGCAATTATATTTGAACACGTGCTCTTCCTTTGTATTATATAAAATTTGTCAACAATGTCATTTGGTGAGTACGGTTTACTCTTATAACAAAATTATATATATTCAATTTCAACAAAATAATTGTTATATTTAAATTTTATGCCTTTTTTAATTCCAATTTATTTTATAATACATTTTTCTCTCTTATTTTCAATCACATTCTTTAATAAAATAATATTACATGTAAATTCAAAAAAATTTCTTATTTTTAACCACTTATTCTTCATCAAATCACTATTCCAAGATGTATTTTTTGCAACAAAAAAAAAGTACATCAAACGAGCTCTGAATATTTTATTGCAGCCGACAGTCGACAGTCAACAGCCGCCCGTGCTGATTCAAAATCCTGGATTCACCCCTGCATACCTCGTTTATGCCAATGCAACATCATCTCATAAAGTTAAGCCTCACCCTCCGCAAAAACCTCACAATTTGATGGGCAAACCATAAAAAGGCTCGACGGGTGGAGGGTAGTTAGCGAAGCACTTTATCTATGGTAATCAATTTGTGGTTTATAATGATAGGGATACTATCGTGTATTTTAAGTAAATTTATTCCACAATCAAAGTATCTTATCAATTCCTAGATATCTCCTTATAATTATTGAGATCAAGAAAGATCCACATAATAACATCAAATATGCTAATTCCGTTTAATAAGGAAATAACTTAATAGAATGTAACAATTCCCCAACCAATGATGCGTGTTAATCATCTTAATCTAATTCTAAAAAAAATCTCGACTACAAATATCTATGCACAGGTGAAGTCAAATGTATGCAATTCTCGAAACTCTAGCCAAAAATTTGTCATTTCTTACAACTGTAATCATGGCCTAACCGTTTGTATCCAAATGTACAAGTGATATACATATAGATAGAGATTTGATAAGAAACGTGGTTTTTTGTAAACCCGACCATCCAATTTGACCCAATCACAAAAATTAATTTTGCAAACTTGGATATCATGGGTTTCGATCCCTTGATAGGATTAAAGCCAACAAGCTTACCACTAAAACAAGCATTGCTGTTTAACTTATGCTAATTAAATAATCGTAAATGACAAATAACTTAAAAATTTATGGTTACCGTTCTCAAACTATGATTTTGCACTAAACTCAATCCTTTCGTCAATTTTGCTATTAAAAAAAAAAAATTGAAGGGGAAAAAAAAAAAAAAAAAAAAAAAAGAGGACATGCCCTTGATATTAATTGAAATAAATAGGAAATGCAAACATAGAAATATCGCAACAAAAAGAGCATGTGAAAATCTTGTAAAACTACGTGCCACCCACCCATGTTGGGCTGGACTGAAGTCAATAGACCCAATTAGTTTACTGAAAAATAGATTAAAGGGCTGAAATAGGCCTTTCTTTAGAACCACAAATTCCTCTCCGGCAAATATCATGCACCGAGTTGAGAGGTATCTTAACTATTACATACCTCATCCTCAGTGAAATAGTTAAAAGTTGAAATAAATTAAGTTTTGAAAACTTTTAAATAAGTAGGAATTTCAATTGTCGGGGTGTTAGTTACTTATTGCTTCATTCTTGCATTGCATTATAGTTGTTGAATTTATCGAAATTTAATTTTGAATCTCAATTTAACCATGTCAAAAGAGACTAGAAAAAGGATTCTTATATATACGATAATTACACCTAAGTACTCTTACTACCAAGCCTCTTTTCAAAGACTTTGCTCTTTAACGAACGTGAAATATGTTAAAGAAATTGACTCAAGTATCAAATAAACTCGTAACTCGATACAAATACGATAATACTGTAAAACCTCTGTAAAATAATAATGCTAGGACTGATAAAAATTATTCTTTTAGAGGGGTTATTAATTTATCAATAATTGAATATTTATTAGTTTATAGAGTATTTTATACTTTTATAACTTGTATTATATTTTACTATATTATGAATCACACAAAAAAGGCACACACATACATCCATTAAAGAGGAAAACATTAATGTGCATGCATGGGCTTCAAATTTAATATCTTGAAATATTAATAGTTCAAGTTATTTCATGTATGCACGGAACATAATTTCTATAGTATTAGTTTTAAGTTAAGACCCCCAATCATTCCAAATTTCATACCTTTTTCCTACTATGGCGTTTCATTTCAAATGAGTTAAAAATCTATAAGTTCAGTCAAATGAAGTTGTTAATGTTGAATCAAAAGCTAGTGAAGATGAAGGAATCAATGGATTGTGTGAAACTATTTTTGGTCTATGCTATAAAAATATAATGGATGTCGAGCACCTTTTAAACTATCTTCGTGAAAATGATACAGTAACGGAATCTAATACTGATTGAGATATAATTATTCAAGGATACTCAATACACCTATTAATGATGATCATGATTCAGATGATAATTGTGTTTTACCAACTGTTTTTTTAAAAGAGATATTTTTAACCATCGTAACCTTAAATAATTAATTTGTATAAAATGAAAAATATGTCAAATGTAGTAGGTGCATTGCAAAAAATTAGAAACGAAGTTGAGTTGGTTTCAGTACAATGAAAAAGCAAAAGATTTTAGATGCATATGTTGAAAAAGAGACGAATTGAAGAAAATATTGTCAAATTAAAGGTTTGTTAATTTGTATTAATATGAACTTTTATGAATTTAATCATTTATTATTTTATATATTGTTGGGCCTTAAAAGATCTCAAAAAATATTAGTATCTTATACATTTAACGAGGTTATTAATTTAGTAAAATTAGCCCAAAATCGGAATCGAAAAATTTTATTA